TGCGTATTGTAGAATCAAAGAGGAGCATATCATTATTATTATTATTATTATTATTATTTAACACATTATTATTACATGTATTAGAAACAATGTTGGAGATATGATTACAACACAATACATTTTGACATTTCCAAAGGTACCGGAATCATGCAGTTGCGAGCGCCGTAAAACATCTACTAAAACCACAGATCTACACTTAAGTGTAGAATTCTATGACTAAAACTAAAAAGGTAGGCTATCGGAAACATCGAGCCCATCCAGCTTAGTAACAATATAAGTGCAAGCCTGTTTCCACTGGTGCAATTTTGCGCGCTCGAGCGAGGACTCACACACACACACACACACACACACACACACACACACACACACACACACACACACATAAATACACGCGCGTGCGCGTCCGCGAACACTCACTGCATCTTTATGTCATGTAGCCTATCTGTCCCCGGGGTTTTATGGACCCCGATATTTTAGCAAAATTTGATTTGTTTTGTTTTTTGTTTGGGGGGGCATAATTTCTGGTTATTTTCGTTTATCTTTTTTTTTGGTTGAAATTAACTGAATCGCATAATTTCACATTTTTAGGCCCAGTTTGCATAATTTCAGAATCTGTCTTGCATAAAACGACGGAGTCGTGCTTCTGCATGTATTTTCTAAAGACAATGTGCAACCATCCATTGGGGGCTCTTGTGGCCTAGAGGCTAAGGTGTTGGCCTCTCATATTCAAAGGTCCCAGGTTCGAATTCGGGTAGTGACCGACAAATTTTCTTCTCTTGTCTCCTTTAATCCCCTTTCCTGCTCTCAAGCAATGTTCTGTCGCCTGATTTCGTCTCCTCTTTCTGCCTCCCACCACTTCACTTCCCTTCTCTGGGCTCCTGACTCTTTCTGCTACCTTTCTACAGCTACTCCGTGGCTCCCCCTTACTGCTGTCTTTAAGTCACATCCCTGACCTTCTGGTAGGACAGATCTACACCTAGCCTTCTCAGACAAGGACGGAAAGATCCCTTGGTGGTCTAAATAAAATAGATAAGAGTAGGTTTTGGATGCCACCAGGGCAAAATTCAAAATCTCCTACCAACTGAAAAAGTTAAGTGTGACCCCGCGCTCATATGACCATATGCAGAGAGAGAGAAAGAGAGAGAGAGAGAGAGAGAGAGAGAGAGAGAGAGAGAGATGG